CTAACCCTAACGCCAGGTCTAACCCTAACGCCAGGTCTAACCCTAACGCCAGGTCTAACCCTAACGCCAGGTCTAACCCTAACGCCAGGTCTAACCCTAACGCCAGGTCTAACCCTAACGCCAGGTCTAAACCCTAACGCCAGGTCTAACCCTAACGCTATCTCTAACACTAGGTCTGACCAGACCTAACCCCAAATGTAAGACTTAGGTCTCGTTCACACCCAGGCGTATTGCATATTTTCCACGACCCCGAAGGCTACTTGGCTGTATCCCAATGGAAACGCGCAACAAAACGGCCCAAAGTAGTCCCTGGATCTTTCCAGGCGCGGGCCGTTTTGTAGCGCGTTAGGGACGGGCGGGTGCCGAGGTGGGAACCAGACCATTGAATACAATGCGATTTAGATGTTTGAGCGTTTTGTAGAGCGTTCGCCGAGCGTAGAACCCGCCACAGAACGTTAAAACCCTAACCCTAAGGGCTTAGACCAGACCTAACCCCCAAATGTAAGACTTAGACCAGACCTAACCCCCAAATGTAAGACTTAGACCAGACCTAACCCCCAAATGTAACACTCAGACCAGACCTAACCCCCAAATGTAAGACTTAGACCAGACCTAACCACACATTTGAATTGAATGGGAGGATATAATATGTTTCGGTTTTGGATGGAGTGGGAAAGGTTTAGTCCCTTTGCTCTCATTGCTCTCTGTGGCCTGCTGCAGACATTCATCCCTTGGTTTTTTTTCTGGTCCCCATTGTCACCTGGACAGAAAGTGAGGAGAAATCGCAGCAAAACACATTTGAATTGAATGGGAGGATATAATATGTTTCGGTTTTGGATGGAGTGGGAAAGGTTTAGTCCCTTTGCTCTCATTGCTCTCTGTGGCCTGCTGCAGACATTCATCCCTTGGTTTTTTTTCTGGTCCCCATTGTCACCTGGACAGAAAGTGAGGAGAAATCGCAGCAAGGAGGAATCTTTTATTGGGGACACCATTCACTGAGATTCCATTCACTTTGGAGAGGTTTCCTGTCATTTCCTGTTGGGTCTCCAGGACAGGAAGTAAAGGGAAATTTCCCCAGCAAAACAGAGACAATAAAGAAATAACTCGATAGTGTATTTCCCCTTCTATGCGACTTTACATCCAGTGTAACCGTTCAAACCCCCAAACCTGAGAAACACCCCCCCCTCCCCCCAGGGGGACCTTGGATACATTCTATTAGGACAATACCAGTGCAGATGTATATGCTTTAGTCTGCGTGATCCTCTCTATGATGATCCCGCCATTGCGTGTGGAATGACGGGCTCCATCGGCCCCGGGGGGTGTCGGGCCGGAAGGGGTTAATATGGCCGTGACTCTTATTTCTCTGCATCTCCAGCTCTCGGGTTGCTGTGACACGGACCGAATTCCCATATTTCCCACCGATGGAGAGATGATGGCGGCCGTGTGCCCAGGTAAGACGCTGGAGGCGGAGTTACAAAACTCCATTCTTATAAATAGATTCGAGGAGCAGAACTTGTGTCACCGGAAAGTCTTCGTTTATTAAACATTTCAAAGTATAAAACGAAATTCTCACCAATAAAATTTCTGCACAACCAGCAAAATAGAAATGATTATTCTCAACCTGAACTTCCGACAGAAGAAATGTCTAGAAACGCGTAAATCTCCCCAAAAGACGTCTCTTTCCTGTCTGTATGACCGATCCCCTCAGGCCGCTCCTATGTACAGTGACAGAGACTCCTCTTCAGACCCCTGTGACCACATGGCAGACCCATCCCCAGGCTCAGTCTAGGAGGTCACTCACATCCAGTCCAGGAATCCCACCCCTAAGGACTCTATGATCACATGGGAGACCCATCCCCAGGCTCAGTCTAGGAGGTCACTCACATCCAGTCCAGGAGTCCCACCCCTAAGGACTCCTATGACCACATGGGAGACCTATCCCCAGGCTCAGTCTAGGAGGTCACTCACATCCAGTCCAGGAGGCCCACCCCTAAGGACTCCTATGACCACATGGCAGACCCATCCCCAGGCTCGGTCTAGGAGGTCACTCACATCCAGCCCAGGAGTCCCATCCCTAAGGACTCTATGACCACATGGCAGACCTATCCCCAGACTCAGTCTAGGAGGTCACTCACATCCAGTCCAGGAGGCCCACCCCTAAGGACTCCTATGACCACATGGCAGACCCATCCCCAGGCTCGGTCTAGGAGGTCACTCACATCCAGCCCAGGAGTCCCATCCCTAAGGACTCTATGACCACATGGCAGACCTATCCCCAGACTCAGTCTAGGAGGTCACTCACATCCAGTCCAGGAGGCCCACCCCTAAGGACTCCTATGACCACATGGCAGACCCATCCCCAGGCTCGGTCTAGGAGGTCACTCACATCCAGCCCAGGAGTCCCATCCCTAAGGACTCTATGACCACATGGCAGACCTATCCCCAGACTCAGTCTAGGAGGTCACTCACATCCAGTCCAGGAGGCCCACCCCTAAGGACTCCTATGACCACATGGCAGACCCATCCCCAGGCTCGGTCTAGGAGGTCACTCACATCCAGCCCAGGAGTCCCATCCCTAAGGACTCTATGACCACATGGCAGACCTATCCCCAGACTCAGTCTAGGAGGTCACTCACATCCAGTCCAGGAGGCCCACCCCTAAGGACTCCTATGACCACATGGCAGACCCATCCCCAGGCTCGGTCTAGGAGGTCACTCACATCCAGCCCAGGAGTCCCATCCCTAAGGACTCTATGACCACATGGCAGACCTATCCCCAGACTCAGTCTAGGAGGTCACTCACATCCAGTCCAGGAGGCCCACCCCTAAGGACTCCTATGACCACATGGCAGACCCATCCCCAGGCTCGGTCTAGGAGGTCACTCACATCCAGCCCAGGAGTCCCATCCCTAAGGACTCTATGACCACATGGCAGACCTATCCCCAGACTCAGTCTAGGAGGTCACTCACATCCAGTCCAGGAGGCCCACCCCTAAGGACTCCTATGACCACATGGCAGACCCATCCCCAGGCTCGGTCTAGGAGGTCACTCACATCCAGCCCAGGAGTCCCATCCCTAAGGACTCTATGACCACATGGCAGACCTATCCCCAGACTCAGTCTAGGAGGTCACTCACATCCAGTCCAGGAGGCCCACCCCTAAGGACTCCTATGACCACATGGCAGACCCATCCCCAGGCTCGGTCTAGGAGGTCACTCACATCCAGCCCAGGAGTCCCATCCCTAAGGACTCTATGACCACATGGCAGACCTATCCCCAGACTCAGTCTAGGAGGTCACTCACATCCAGTCCAGGAGGCCCACCCCTAAGGACTCCTATGACCACATGGCAGACCCATCCCCAGGCTCGGTCTAGGAGGTCACTCACATCCAGCCCAGGAGTCCCATCCCTAAGGACTCTATGACCACATGGCAGACCTATCCCCAGACTCAGTCTAGGAGGTCACTCACATCCAGTCCAGGAGGCCCACCCCTAAGGACTCCTATGACCACATGGCAGACCCATCCCCAGGCTCGGTCTAGGAGGTCACTCACATCCAGCCCAGGAGTCCCATCCCTAAGGACTCTATGACCACATGGCAGACCTATCCCCAGACTCAGTCTAGGAGGTCACTCACATCCAGTCCAGGAGGCCCACCCCTAAGGACTCCTATGACCACATGGCAGACCCATCCCCAGGCTCGGTCTAGGAGGTCACTCACATCCAGCCCAGGAGTCCCATCCCTAAGGACTCTATGACCACATGGCAGACCTATCCCCAGACTCAGTCTAGGAGGTCACTCACATCCAGTCCAGGAGGCCCACCCCTAAGGACTCCTATGACCACATGGCAGACCCATCCCCAGGCTCGGTCTAGGAGGTCACTCACATCCAGCCCAGGAGTCCCATCCCTAAGGACTCTATGACCACATGGCAGACCTATCCCCAGACTCAGTCTAGGAGGTCACTCACATCCAGTCCAGGAGGCCCACCCCTAAGGACTCCTATGACCACATGGCAGACCCATCCCCAGGCTCGGTCTAGGAGGTCACTCACATCCAGCCCAGGAGTCCCATCCCTAAGGACTCTATGACCACATGGCAGACCTATCCCCAGACTCAGTCTAGGAGGTCACTCACATCCAGTCCAGGAGGCCCACCCCTAAGGACTCCTATGACCACATGGCAGACCCATCCCCAGGCTCGGTCTAGGAGGTCACTCACATCCAGCCCAGGAGTCCCATCCCTAAGGACTCTATGACCACATGGCAGACCTATCCCCAGACTCAGTCTAGGAGGTCACTCACATCCAGTCCAGGAGGCCCACCCCTAAGGACTCCTATGACCACATGGCAGACCCATCCCCAGGCTCGGTCTAGGAGGTCACTCACATCCAGCCCAGGAGTCCCATCCCTAAGGACTCTATGACCACATGGCAGACCTATCCCCAGACTCAGTCTAGGAGGTCACTCACATCCAGTCCAGGAGGCCCACCCCTAAGGACTCCTATGACCACATGGCAGACCCATCCCCAGGCTCGGTCTAGGAGGTCACTCACATCCAGCCCAGGAGTCCCATCCCTAAGGACTCTATGACCACATGGCAGACCTATCCCCAGACTCAGTCTAGGAGGTCACTCACATCCAGTCCAGGAGGCCCACCCCTAAGGACTCCTATGACCACATGGCAGACCCATCCCCAGGCTCGGTCTAGGAGGTCACTCACATCCAGCCCAGGAGTCCCATCCCTAAGGACTCTATGACCACATGGCAGACCTATCCCCAGACTCAGTCTAGGAGGTCACTCACATCCAGTCCAGGAGGCCCACCCCTAAGGACTCCTATGACCACATGGCAGACCCATCCCCAGGCTCGGTCTAGGAGGTCACTCACATCCAGCCCAGGAGTCCCATCCCTAAGGACTCTATGACCACATGGCAGACCTATCCCCAGACTCAGTCTAGGAGGTCACTCACATCCAGTCCAGGAGGCCCACCCCTAAGGACTCCTATGACCACATGGCAGACCCATCCCCAGGCTCGGTCTAGGAGGTCACTCACATCCAGCCCAGGAGTCCCATCCCTAAGGACTCTATGACCACATGGCAGACCTATCCCCAGACTCAGTCTAGGAGGTCACTCACATCCAGTCCAGGAGGCCCACCCCTAAGGACTCCTATGACCACATGGCAGACCCATCCCCAGGCTCGGTCTAGGAGGTCACTCACATCCAGCCCAGGAGTCCCATCCCTAAGGACTCTATGACCACATGGCAGACCTATCCCCAGACTCAGTCTAGGAGGTCACTCACATCCAGTCCAGGAGGCCCACCCCTAAGGACTCCTATGACCACATGGCAGACCCATCCCCAGGCTCGGTCTAGGAGGTCACTCACATCCAGCCCAGGAGTCCCATCCCTAAGGACTCTATGACCACATGGCAGACCTATCCCCAGACTCAGTCTAGGAGGTCACTCACATCCAGTCCAGGAGGCCCACCCCTAAGGACTCCTATGACCACATGGCAGACCCATCCCCAGGCTCGGTCTAGGAGGTCACTCACATCCAGCCCAGGAGTCCCATCCCTAAGGACTCTATGACCACATGGCAGACCTATCCCCAGACTCAGTCTAGGAGGTCACTCACATCCAGTCCAGGAGGCCCACCCCTAAGGACTCCTATGACCACATGGCAGACCCATCCCCAGGCTCGGTCTAGGAGGTCACTCACATCCAGCCCAGGAGTCCCATCCCTAAGGACTCTATGACCACATGGCAGACCTATCCCCAGACTCAGTCTAGGAGGTCACTCACATCCAGTCCAGGAGGCCCACCCCTAAGGACTCCTATGACCACATGGCAGACCCATCCCCAGGCTCGGTCTAGGAGGTCACTCACATCCAGCCCAGGAGTCCCATCCCTAAGGACTCTATGACCACATGGCAGACCTATCCCCAGACTCAGTCTAGGAGGTCACTCACATCCAGTCCAGGAGGCCCACCCCTAAGGACTCCTATGACCACATGGCAGACCCATCCCCAGGCTCGGTCTAGGAGGTCACTCACATCCAGCCCAGGAGTCCCATCCCTAAGGACTCTATGACCACATGGCAGACCTATCCCCAGACTCAGTCTAGGAGGTCACTCACATCCAGTCCAGGAGGCCCACCCCTAAGGACTCCTATGACCACATGGCAGACCCATCCCCAGGCTCGGTCTAGGAGGTCACTCACATCCAGCCCAGGAGTCCCATCCCTAAGGACTCTATGACCACATGGCAGACCTATCCCCAGACTCAGTCTAGGAGGTCACTCACATCCAGTCCAGGAGGCCCACCCCTAAGGACTCCTATGACCACATGGCAGACCCATCCCCAGGCTCGGTCTAGGAGGTCACTCACATCCAGCCCAGGAGTCTAGTCTCTTTAGCCTCCTATAACCACATAGCAGACTCACCTCTAGGCTCCCTCCGGAAGGTCCCTCACATCCACCCCAGGAATACTATCCCCACAGACTCCTATACGGACATGGCAGCACTCCGGGTTCAAAAGATGCTTCAACCTTCCTTGGTCTGACCACCAATATGTGGTTGTTTCACACCTAACTTTCACTAGTCACACAGTCCTCTAACTCTGCTCTCACAGACGCTTGCTGATAGTACGGCTCTATGCAAATCCAGGGTAGAAGAAACAGTCCCTTCTACACATCAGGTGGGTCCCCAGGAGTGATGACATCTAAAATAAGTGAACTCTGAGGTACGTATATGGGAGCTATATGTATGGAGGGAACCTATAAAGATGAATATAGTAAGTAGACTTTATAAGAATTAGGGATGCGCCGATACTAGTATCAATATCAGTGCCGATACCAAGTATTTGGGTGAGTACTGGTACTGGTCCAAATGCTCCAATGCCTAGCCCGAAACTTCCTGTATCAGGAAGCCGGGCAGCGACTCATTACACGCTGCCCGGCTTCCTGATTGTTCGGGAAGCCGGCTTCATGCTCTCTCGTCGTCTTATGACGAGGGAGCATGGAGCCGTCTTGCTGGCCAATCAGAAAGCAGGACGCTGCGTCATTACATGGCGCCCGGCTTCCATGATTGGCCAGCAAGATGGTACCGGAGGAAGGCCACTCCTGGCTGGAGAGGTCCTGGGGGTGACAGGCTGGACATGCCGAGGTGAGAGGGGACAGAGATCCACACAGCAGAGACGTCCTGGATCGTATGATTGTTATTATGGGGATTCGTATGGGGCGGCTTTCTTGTTAATCAGGAAGCCGGGTGGCAAATCATTACATGCCACCCGGCTTCCTGAATGGGACTTCCAGTACTCGGTAATCGGTATCGGCGAGTAACGGAAAAAAAGTATCGGTGCTCGGTACCAAAATACCGGTATAGGTAGGGAGAAGAGGGATCATGGTGAATGATGGACCCTAGAGAAGAGAGTGGACATGGTGAATGATGGACCCTAGAGAAGAGAGTAGACATGGTAAATGATGGACCCTAGAGAAGAGAGTGGACATGGTGAATGATAGACCCTAGAGAGGAGAGTGTACATGGTGAATGATAGACCCTAGAGAAGAGAGTAGACATGGTGAATGATGGACCCTAGAGAAGAGAGTGGATATGGTGAATGATGGACCCTAGAGAGGAGAGTGGACATGGTGAATGATGGACCCTAGAGAGGAGAGTGTACATGGTGAATGATAGACCCTAGAGAGGAGAGTGTACATGGTGAATGATAAACCCTAGAGAGGAGAGTGTACATGGTGAATGATAGACCCTAGAGAAGAGAGTGGACATGGTGAATGATGGACCCTAGAGAAGAGAGTGGACATGGTGAATGATGGACCCTAGAGAAGAGAGTGGACATGGTGAATGATGGACCCCTTGGAGGATAGGGATCATGGCTGGACCTCCAGGGAGGAGATGGGGCATGCCAGGCATGGTGGGTATTCCCTATAATGCTGGATCCCTTCTTCAGGAGCCTCAATGGTATAATCTGTATTTGATATACGAGTATTTCATTGTCAGTGTACGTGGGGATCAGTTGTTTATCTTGTATATATTTCATTGAGCACTGGTTGAGGAGAAACTCTTGAGGATTGTCTCTTGTGTTTTGGTGTCTGTAATTCCCCAGCTAACACACATGAATGAGATCATTTTCAATGGAGTCATCAAAGTAACCGCCAGGAACCTGAGCAATTCATACAAAGAGGCCACCTTTCCAGAACCATCAGATGATCCCAATATACAGGCAGCTGAAGTTATATGCAAATCACAATACTGTCATTCATGTGCTCGTTGCCATCCACTCCTCGGCCTCCCTTTTGTTTGGCCTTATTGGCTGGTGTTCCCCATATCTCTGCACCTACTGACTATTCCAACAGTAAGGATGAGTGAACTGGGCAAAGATCAGTTTGCAGGAGGTAATGCAACCCAGTGGGGAGTCTGTGAACCCCGAATATTGTACTGGACCCCATTAAATTCTATAGCAGAAAGGGTATTGGGGGCTGGGCATTGGCATTGCTGATATGTATCAATGCAAAAAAATGTTCAGTGGGGAGGAGCTCTTTAACCCCTTGAAGCCTGAGGTGTCCCCCTTCCTGTCCCAGCCATTGTCAGAGCGCAGACGGGCGGCAGCGGTGACCTTGTGGGGAAGTTGCGGGTGCCGGTGTAAGGTGTCCCGGCGGCGGACCTTAGTGTGCGGCCGCCGTCCAATCACGATGGGGCGGCCCGAGGCTCCGCCCACCGGCTCCGTAGTGTGCGGCCGCCAGCCAATCACGGCGCGGCGGGCTGCAACTCCTCCCCCCAGCTGTCAGATACTTCCTCCGGCGTCCTGTAAAGCCCCGTTCACATTGAGCGATTTATCGCGCGGTAATTCCCGCGATATCGCGGCAAATTATTGCGCTCCAATGCATTTCAATGCAGCAAAGGGTCCTGCTGTCGCGGGTCGTGTGTCGCTACAGCAGGACCCTTTTTGGAGCGGATTTAGCCGCGATTCAAGCTGGCTCAATGCAAGCTTGAACGCGATGTTGGGCAGCAAATCTCGCGATATTGCGCAATATGCAAATTGCGCGACAAACGCGCAATTTGCATATCGCGCAGTGGGAACGGGGCCTTAATGTGAATTGACGCCGGAGGAAGTAGCTGTCTATCTTGCTATCACACAGGGGCTTGTTATCTCTTGTGTGATAGCAATAAAGTTAGGTGGGAAAAAAATTACATTTGATTTAAAAAAAAAAGATAAAAATTATAAAAAAGTAAAAAGATAAATAAAAATCTAAAAAAAATTAAATTGTTTAAACAAATTAAATAAATAAAAATGAAAAAAAATAAGAAATAAATGAATAAAAAGTGATAAAAATAAAGAAACAGTAAAAAAAATTTAAACTAGCCCCGCCCCAAGGCTAGGTTCCACAATACGCCAAA